ATAAATCAAAATTACCCCTTTATCTTTGCGATTTCAGCAACATGAGAAGGGACGCTGATCGAAACAAGTAGTGGCGAGATAACATCCTTGGCTGTTTAACCAAATTTATTTTCATACACAGCAACTGCTGTAAATCTTGCATACCAGTCAATTTTTTCCCTTAATAAGTATTGTAACTTGCAAAGCTCATAAGTGCTTTCTATCAGTCATTTTCATTAATTACTTGATCCCATGAGGTTAAAACGAGAACAAAATCCAATTTCTCAAGATTTCCAAGAACACGTCAGTCATGATTCAGGTTTAGAATCGCCAATTCTATTTTATTAGATGTTTATTAATTGATAGATGAATGGGGAAAGATAATTTCATCACATTTAAACCGATAATATTTTTATGAACTATCGACTATCATAACGATACTGAATGCAGTTTTTCAATCTGAACACGCTGTAAAGTTAATTAGCTGCAAAACGAATTAGCTGCAAAGGGGAGTGTTCCTATAGAACATTTGACTATCAGCACTAAAGTATAACCGCCCTTCTCAAAAGAAGATAAAGAGGATAAAAGTGAACCGCTTATCTCACATAAAAAAATGCTCAATAAGAATCGTTTATATGTACGACGGTTTCTGAGTAAGTCTGCCACAATTGCGGTACCAAATCCCAAAAAGAGTAAGTCAAAATTTTCAATTGAATGAGCACTGATACTAGTTTAATTATTAATTTATTATAGATTTAAAATAGCGTGCAATTTTACAACTGTTATTGGACATACAACATAAGTACGGCCAATGCGGCAAACCTTCGCGGGCTTCTGCCAAACCACTGGTCTGAGGAGTCAATTGTAAAAAGAGCTTGGATCAGATTACAATTCTCTTTAATTAAAAGAATATACAAAATACAGCACATAGGAGCCCGTTTTGTAGGAGTAAAGATAGAAACTAGAAAATCAAGCAGTGAATATCTGGGCGAATATTTACCTTGATTGGGAATAGAGGAGTCAAAATAATCACAGTCGTGTCATGATACATGAACAGGAACAGCCACATAGGAACAATTCCAAAACCTCTTGATCACCTTCGCAACAGAAAAGTGAGCCTATCAACATAAAATGCACCAAAATCCTAACAAAATAATAGAGGAACCAGCCATATGAAAAAGTATTGGAGGAATGTGATTAAATACGCAGCTTTAACACATGAAAATTCAAAACACAGAATGGCACAAGAAACTATGATAGTTCACAGAAAAAATCAAAAATCATCAGCTCGCACAAGAAAAAAATACCATCTACTTACTAATAAACTTAAACTTCCCGCTTTCAGCCATCTTGTAGTGCAATTCGTCGGGCATCATATCGTAAATAACTGCCAGATCCTCCAATGCACGCGTTCCATCACAAAGTCGATATATTCTAAATTTCTTGTGAAAACTGAAACAAAGATATCTACGAAATAAGGGATAAGAGCTTATTGATTGTTTGAATATCGCAGCGAAAACAGCATACCAGGTACGACTACACCGAAAATCGACACGATCGTATATATTCTAGCGAAAGAAGATAATTATAAAAAGCACAAGAAGTAAAAGCAACATAGGATAGGAAATTTCACTAATTCAGAAAAATCACAGAAAAACAAAAATTCAATGCAAGGATTATTGGAAGTACATCGTATATCATTTGAAAGAAGGACCTCCCTCAACACGATGATGCACTTATCTTATTCAACAATTTCGATTTGCTTGATTAGAATTGATTGAACTAGGATAATCTAGACGGCCAGTAGCTCTTTCTAATACGCAACTTGCAGTTGAATACGTTGACCGCGAAAACTAGGTCTACCCAAGATACGACCTCTCAGGTAATGGGGTGTAGCTACAGGGGTCAAAATCATCAATTTCTTCAAAAGAAGTATATTAGGGTTGCCTGACATGCTAATCACCAAAATCGTATCCGTTCCCGCTGAAAAGGCCTTTCAGCACAATAT